GGCATACTGCACACTAGTACCGGTACCCGCACACTCATACTCATACTCATACTCATACCGCACACGCATACGATGGGATGGGAAAAGGGGTAACTCGACCGGCCTTACTGCCGATTGAGTGACTCGAGGAGCGTCGGGGCTCTGTACTTGTACCCTCTCGGGGATCGACGGTTTGGGCAAAATGACGTCTGCGCAAAATGATTGGCCGATTCTTAGAAGGCTCGGCTCCTGATTTGCATATTCGTTTACTCCCGCATTTATCGATAATCGGGCAGGATTTTTTGGGTCATTCCAAAGGGAATGACCAAATGACCACTGACTTTAAGTACCCACCCCCTAGGATTGGTTATCTGGTCATTCCCTTTGGAATGACCCAAAAAATCCTGCCCGATTATCGATCTTTGGATAATCGCTGCTTTGGATCATATTTAGTCAAGGATGGCGAAATAAAAATTCTGAGATTCGTTTCCATTCATTTTATTAGTTAGAATTTAGGCGGCATACATAAAATTATTGATAGATTGATGTACAATTTAAAATACAGAAATTCTAATTTAGTCTCTAGTATTTCGCTAAAGAATTGCACTTTGAAAATTAGTATCTCCTCGGTGACAGAACTGAGAGGTAGTACAAAACGAAAAAAGAAGAAATGTAATGGTTCCCAATAAATAAAGTTTCACTAGATGGATTCTTTTACCGGCATATTTCATACTTTAATTACTCATTTTAAATATTTTCATTAAAAATTTTGTACAATGTCGATAATAAAACTAAAATGAAGTGCTCATTATTTCTTTTGGCCGCACGAGTAAATTCCAGGTCTGTAAGTTGGTAAGAATGGCACGTACTGAGTCCATTTCCACCTGCAAGTAATTAAAAAATAAATACATTTTCTTGTCAAATTCAAAGAATTATAGATAAGTAAAGAAGAGCGTACCTCCGTAAAAGATCCATTCCAAACGGGAAATCAAATGTGTTAGGTATGTGTTCTTGATCCTCTTTCTCATCTTTACTGCTAGTTAACTCCATTTCCTTCGACCATGCGATCAGTCCGCGTTCCTCGGGGGTGCCTTAACAAATTTATTTTACCACCATTATTTATAGATATACATTTTCGATGAAATACATTTTTTAGTGCTCAAATCATACCTGGGATGGTATTATCCAGTAGACATCCCACCACGCCTCCTACAAGAATAGTTGTGCTAAGTAACACGGCAATTACGCTATCAGCTATGTTGTACCCAGTATTTATCACGCCTGGGTGATTGATCATCCATTTGGACAGAACCTACAATCAGTTTAAATTAATTATCATTTGTTAAATTAATAAATTACGTATTAGTAACTGTCTTACTAATGGAAAGAAAATAGAAAATCCGAGAATATATATATTCCTCGCGGAATTCAAATCTACGTATTGCAGCGCGGACAGACCTGAAAAGAAACATATTATAATATTCATATTTATAATGTTAGACTAATTTCAATTGATGAATATATACAATTAACGTACCGAACGCGGTGATCATTCCAAACATCACACAAAATATTCCACCGACGATAGGCTCGGGGATGATAATGAAAACGGCGCCAAATTTGCTAATCAGTCCTTGAATGATCATCAACCCGCAGGCCCACTGTATGACTCTGCGACTACCGACTTTCGTAACACCTGTTAACATTTCATATAAGCAGTCAGTTCAAAAATATTGTTCCATGACACACTTGCGACTCGTCGTAGTTTTCCTTTTAAGAAAATTGTATGTAATTTACCAATGGTTCCCACATTTTCTCCGAACGTGTTTGTACCGTTTCCGCTTCCCCAAATACCAGCCAACATTGTACCCAGCCCTTCCATACCGATTCCTCGATTGATAGCGTGAACCGGAGGTGGTGGAGCCCCTAAGAACAATTAACAAATTTAGAGATTAAAATAATAGTTTAAATTATTGATGATCATTCGCAAACGTAATTAGTTTAAAATGCTGTAGTAAAAAATGCAGGTTTTATTAAAAAACATTTTTTTATTTGACAATCATATTGGAGTTAATGTTCGAATTGCATTATCGCTCAGTTAGTGTCGTTTAGACATGTGTCATCCTTAACCCCTTGAGTATACTTGGATTTAAGAAAATGGTTCTTTTCCGCGCGCCCGAATTAACTCGTGAGACCTACAGTTTTGGTTTTCTATATGAATTCAACCGAATATATTCAGAATACTTTACTCTCGATTTATTATAATTATTATCAAAATATCATTTAAGTAAAAAAGATTTGATATATATACACACATACATATATGTCGAAGCGTCTGTATTATTAAAATCTCTAAAGCCGTCAATCGGAAAAGACATTATGCAAAATTATTTTATTTGAAACGATTATGGTCCCCGATATGACTCCAACCGCGATCGTTCGTTTTCTGTTCTTTTTTTATTTTAAAAATTGAATCCTTCGATATCTCTCGATACTTCTCGATATATCGCTACCAATTCGCACTTGTTCGGGTCACACTGATTCTATCCAAGTTTAAATGATTTATAAGATAAACGTATTAAGGGTCTTTTTACTTAAAAGTTTGAATTTGTTACTACTTACCGCACATTCTGGAAGTCGTTGGATAGTAACTGATTGACTCCACCGTACATGCCAATACTCCGGCTAACATGCCAAGCACGCCAGACAGGGTCACAGTAGGTGTACCCCATTGGCCGGGATAAGGTACTCTAAACCACGGAGAATCATTAAGGATCTTTAATTTACTGTCCGCTCTAGCTGGATGACCGACTGGCAAGGAATCAGTCACGGTCAAAATCGCGCAGATTATCCACATTACTATTATTGTTAACAAAACCTAAAATTAAAAATGAAGCAATATAGAAAAGACAGAAATTGTAGTCCCTTTATAATAGAGCTTCGTGATTTACTGATTTACCGGGAATAGTTTGAATAATTCGAACCACGCGAGTCGCAACCCTTGACCCTTGCGGTAGGTCAGTATAGGAAACGGTACATTGACCAATATTTGCGAGTATAATGTTAACATCAATATAGTTCTGCAAAGGATCGGTGCACAAAAAGTTACATAATAGTTAAATAATTTTTAATGTAAAATTTGTGAAAGAGATTCTCCATTTACCCAGCCGCTATGCCCCAATGCTGGGATGCAGCGTCGGCTGCGTTCTCGAAGAGCGATATCCCGACTAAGGAGACAGTTGGCACGATAGTCAGAGGCGTGATAAACTTTAATAAATATCCGATGATCCCTGTAGAAAAAAGGAGTTCAATAACTGGGGTTTACGATTTAAAGATATATTTTAATTAAAAATTGTGCTACCGCCAAATCCGACGACCACTTGGAATAGAGCGGAAACAGCGATGGCACCCGAGAGCTCTCTCATTCTGACTTGCCACAATTCCGTGCGATTTGCTTGGGACATTTCATTTAAAACTTCCGGGGCTGGACATTTCCATTGTGGTAAACTTAATATTGCTAATGTTGGGACCAGGAAAGAAATCGTTCCTCCTTGAACTAGGGGTAATCTATAGAAGAAAAAAAATAAGAAAATCGAGCATACATGTATGTATATAGCGAATAGCGAATACACTATTACAATTTAAATTATACTGTAAACAATTTAAACGCTATTTGCAGAAGAATTATTGTCTGTAATTCCGTAAATCTGAAGTCATAAAGCTGTGAACAAAAAAGTAACCTTTTCTGGGAAACATTAGCTGTTTCTAATGATCCGTAAATCTTGTTAAGCAAGAGCATGAGCAATAATTCTTGTGTCAATAAAAATCGTGAAAAATTAGCATTAGAACGAGCCACGAGACATAAGTCAGCAAGGCGTTAAAATACGTTTAAGATTGCCTATTGGATGTAAACTATCAGCCAGCATTCAACCTTGATCTTCAAATTCATACACATTCATGAATCGAATTTACACATGATGATTCTAGTACGTGGAGCTAGTTAATTCTTATGTTTAATAAAATTACGTGAAAATACCGATAAGTATCTGTCGCGTTATCGTTCAGATAATCTTGTTTCCACTAAATCTAAAAAAAATAGTTCTAATATTGTTCTTTGGCATTATTAAACAAGCGACATTCGAACAATCATATGATTGTAATAATTATGTAAAATCCGTATGAAAAAATAGAAGAATGTTACTTATTACAAAATTTGTTACGGATAGAAGTGAGTGTAGTTTCACCCTTATCGCAAACATTCTCGGAGTTCATGATAGTAAGATAAGTCAATTAATAATATGTTGTTCGAAAAATTTTATCGCATAACTTTAAACTTTTTATCATAGATTACAATATGAAAGTTAGGCTTTATGGATTATCAAAAAACTTATCGATCTACGTGTTACATTCATCAAATATAATATTTTCAACGTTTGCATATGTATATGTATACTAGATACTAATTACTTTGCGGTTGCAAAATCTCATATGTTCCTTGCCCAAGATCTATCACGCGGCTATCGCTTTAATGATCTGGAATGATTCACGGCAATTCAAGTTTATGAAACTGATCTCTTAATTCATAAGTACAACACACAAGGATTTTGTTACGCTGCTTTCAAGAGAAACTAAATACATAGATAAATGTGTAGCTTGAATAACGAAATTAAATAATTAGGAATCTTGTAGTTTTTACTAATTAATTCTTTATTATTTATGCATTACCTGCATCCTATGGTAGTTTGAAAGAAGGTGACGAGTCCAGTGACGAAAATCATTGTAGAGATTATGTGACTCCTGGATGGATCGTCTTCTGCCATGCAAAGTGCTGGCGTCAGGATAAAAGGAATCGAAACTATCGCGCCTATCATGGTCAAGTAGTGCTGAAAATTATATCATTCTGATTTCTTTAATCGATAAACAAATAGTTCGGAAAAATAGAAAATTTTAGACCAATTTTAATAATCCAGAAAAGAATTGAATTGAAAGTTTTTAGAATGGCGATTATAATGATCTTGATTAGTCGACAGTCTTACGGGAAGATAGTCGGATATCTTATCAAGATATACAGTATAAATATGGGAATCTCTTAAATCGGTCCACATTCTACATATTGTCTCTTCCAATGTTCACAATAATACTTTTATTGCGTACTCATAAAGAAATTATTTCATGGAATTTTTCCATAGTTTCCAAGTTCAGAATGATTATATTTGTTTTATCGTGATAGCTCTCAAAATTGATAACAACTAATTGTTATTTTAATTATCAGTAAACTAGTTCGCTTGCTATCTTTTTTAAAAATATCGTACAAATACACTTTGAGTATTATTATACACTATTCTTATTAATCAATACCTGTAAAGCCATAAACAAGCAGAGGTACCACGGGGGAACGTCGTCGATGCCATACGTGAGATTTGTGCTTCTATTGTTGCTACTGGTTTTAGTATCCGGCGGCGTGAAGGTTGAATTTTCCACATTCTGAAACGGTAATTAGATTCGTATTGTATGGCACAGTGTGTGATAAAATTTCCTCAGTTTGCGGAATATTTAAAGTGACGCGACACACCGTGCATGAATAGGAAAAAGAGAACAGTTATGCATTTTTGTATAGTATCGTTACCTGTTCCTTCCACATTTTACTTTTTCCTAGAATTTTTTAATAACAGGATAATTACTTTCCCTACAGGAAATAACGCAATCAATGATTCAAGTCTTTGAAACAGAACCCGACCGGCGCATATCCTTGCACGTGCAGGACGTTTGGTATTTGTTATTATAATAAGAAATCCGATTGCATAATTACGCTGGAGAACCAACTGGACGAGAATAATTGTATCAGCGCATTCATAGCTTGTATCAGCATATTCATTAAGTCGATACTACGTAATGCTATCAACAAGCGCGGGAAGATAATTAATCTGTAACATCGTTTCCATTGATCTTATAAGATTCAAATTATGATGCGTTTTTTTTTT